GAGAATTTATAACCCATAAGAAAATAAATGAGATCAAATGACCATTAGTGGTTATTTTATTAGATATATCGGAAGCTCTAAATGATACGGATTTTATTCTTCATCTCATAGCACCAGAATTGTGTAATAAAAAAATGTAAAATTTTGGGGTATGACTCAATCAGTGGGAGTGATCTATCTTAAGACTCAATTCCTATGTGTCAATCTTCCACTTAAAGTAAAAGATCGGTTATCATACAAAATACTCCTCAAATAAAACTGGATGTTAAACAACCAATCAATGAAATTCAACAATATGTTGAAAACATTCTATTAGATCAAGCTATTCAATAAGCTCCAATAATTATCAAAAAAACCAGTTGAACATGATCCACAAGAAAAATGTTGATTGAAGATTAAAAAGAACTACTGGATAAAGGAAACCAATAATTTCTAGTGACTATATTGTGTATCTATAAGAGTCTGACTTGAATGTTATAACTAAAATGATCGTGAGTCATTTTCACAAATCATGATGTTGCGTGTTGTGAGTACTATAAAATTATACGCAAATAATGTCCAAGTATACACAATCACTCAAGTAATAAAGTGATGAGTGAGTATCATCTTTACAGGGATTGGGTGAAATTACAAAAGTCTAACCAAAGCAAAGCACTACTTTATCTAAGTATAGTCAGTGTTGATATATACAAATGTCACGACAAATGAAAAGTAAATGTTGGTGGATATGGATTGAAAGACTGATGGATTAACAAATGGAAATGTAGTTGCAAGAACAGATTTTTAATATTGAAAATGATGTAATGTCAAGATAATGAAAAATGGAAAAAATAATAAATAAATAGCAAATAAATGATAAGTAGATAATCCTCACACAGCAAGCTTCCACTGGAATGAATGGTAGGGATTGATTTAAGGATAATAAACTTATCTCTCATGCAGATTTAATCTATCTAAACTTCACTTGCTCGACATGGTTTGTCGAAAGTGCTCCCGCTATCTCTAGTCAAAGGAACCTAATATAATAGAATGCCATGGCATCTGCTCTCACTCTCTGATGTGGCAGCATGCACTATTGATAAAAATACCCTTGTTATTCGTTGAAATCCTATTTTAGTCTCTCTCGAGTATTAAGGGATTATGATATAGTATTCCTAGGTCGGATCAAATCTTATGAAAATACTATAGCCCATTGCTTATGAGGATCTTGTCTTGTGTTTCTCTCAAATACTACAAGTATTTTTAGCTTAGGTTTCTCTCGAACACCTAACCTTCATCTAAGAAATGGACACTCTTATGCCTCTTACAAGCCTAGATGATGAAGAATACATACATAAGCAAAGCAAGCAAATAACAAAGATAAACATAAATCCACCATTAAAATAAAGTTTAATCATCCATCAAAATAACCCCACCAAATAAGGTTAAGTCATGGTGGGGTTCAAATCATCCATAGAACAAGCCATGAAAATATTCGTTCCAAGAACCCAAAAATAAATAGAAAAATAGTGGCAAAGGGAAGTGAAAAGAAGTCTTTGACGCGCGCCACGAGAGATCTCCTCAGCCACCACGAACCGTCTTAGCTCACTAGCTCCTCTCGGACGCCTAGCTCGCCACTCCTTGGAGCTTAAAATGGAGGAACACCATTCAAGGAAGAAGAAAGGGAAACAGTGAAAAATAAAATAAAATAAAGCTGAAATTCCTCTATGCTCTCTACAGTATATCCCTTGCGTCCAATGAGGTGTAATATATTATAAAAAATCTAGGGGTAATAATGAAGATGTTGAGTGCAAAATACCCCTCATACCCCTAGAATCATACCTTCTGTGTGAACCTTATCCTCCAGGTGGCAGTGATCCCCTAGTAGGTGGTTACAACCATCATTTCACGTGCAGAGCTAGCTCTCCTCGTACAAAAATATCATTTTGTCATTTTTTGTGCCAGAAATGCCAAGGCATTTCAATCTGCTTCAACAACGTGTGATACCATGACATTCCTTCCTAAAGAGACCTTTTGCTTTCTATTTCCTGCACACCACAAACAACTGCACCTTTCTCTCATACAATACCTTTAAGAGATAAAATAGCAATACCACCACAAATGCAACTATATGCAACCACATGATCCTAAAAATGACTAAAATGAGCTTTTAAAAAAACAATAACTTAAGCTATTGCTTGTCCTCAAGCAATGGATAACAATTACATAAGAAGAATGTCATAGCAATTTTCAACAATAGGACAGTAGGAAAAAATTGAATTTCAACCCTCAGAACAATAGGCTTCAACATTATAGACATCTCAAGAATTCAAGTACTTTACCCTAGGTCAAGATTCTTTGTGGTAGTATGTGTATGTGATTGTATCCAATCTATACTTAGCAAATTTAGACAATTTCTACTCAAGTCCCCAAGTTTTTTTAAAGGCATTTAATTATTCATTAAGCACATTTTTACTCCCTTTTTAGTGAACTTTTTTTTCAAATGTTGTTACGAATGGAGTCAACTCATCACACCTCTCTCCCATACTCTATGTGAAAGGGATCATACCTTTCAACCCCAAGCTAGTTAAGTAGAGTCATCCTGTGACTACATTCATTCACTCATATACGCGAGGCTACCATTTATAAAAGAGAATTACAGGCAATGCCACAGCAAAGAGGAGTGTCCCTCTACATCTATGCCTAAGCATTTATTCACAATCTCAAATATAATAGAGTTATTTTTTATTTATCTTTTAAGTAAAATATTATATTTCAATGCCCAAAACTAACTAGAGTTCCTTCATAAAAAATTTATAAATTTCCTAAGTATAGAGAACATACAAATCGTGTAAAAATAATTCACAAAGCATCAAGCCCTAGAGTGAGTTCTATCATTATCAACAATCATTTATATTCAATTTCTAGCCTAACAAGTTCATTATCATTGGGTATCCTCAAAATATTCTATCTAACTATTCTACTATTTACCAATACCATGGCATAATACTATGCTAATGTTATCATGCATATGCTCTACCGAGAACACTACCTCCCCCAAACTTAAGGGAATCATTGAATTCAATGCTTAGAGAGAACAAAAATAAATAAAAATTAGATGACAAACAATGAAATACAAAATAAATGAAAATGAATGCAAGTAAGGTACCTCATGGTTGACGTGGTGGTGTTGCCTTGGAGCTACTGGCAGCTCATCGTCTGGTGCTTTTACGTAGTGGTGCTAGTCTGGACTTTGAAGAACTAGAGTAGTAACGCACTATATTGATGCGTCCAACCGAGGTTTTGGTGCGTCGGCCACTACATGGTGCAGGAGAAGGATCGGGCACATGAATTTGACTGGGTGTTTCTTCAGCAGGAGCAATATTTGATTCAGGGGTCTTGGAACGTTGCGAGTCAGGAGTCGATTTATTAATTGGAGGATCAACGTCATCTTGCTCTGGCTCGGGAGATGCCACGACATTGAATGCTGGTAGAATTTCATCCGAAAAGCCTGAAAAATTCTGTTGAACGTGGGGAATGATCTCTTGGAACATCGTTTCCACCACAACATCTCTCTGCTTCACATAATCAAAGAAATTATGTATATCATCGTGTAAAGTATGTAAGTGAGTCCGAGTCTGCATGTCAACATCTTCGAGAGCAAGCAATCTTGCCTCGGCATTTGATTGTTCAGTACCTGCAAAGTGCTCATGAGCAGGGACCTTAGATTTTGGATTGTCTTGTCCCAATAACAGTGGTAATCTAGCCCTAGTAATGCCCAAAATTCCAGGTAAAATCTCAACAAAAGCATTCTCATTTACCTTTTTCTTACGACATAAAGTAGTAATTAAATTGGGGAACCCTAAAGCACTTGTTTTTTTACCTAAACACTCATGAACTTGATGAACAATGATTTGACCCACATCAATAGGACGGGCTACCATGATCGAATATAAAAGCATTAAACGAGAAAGTAATACCGTCTTGTGGTGTGATGTAGGCATGAACTTGTGTTTGAGGAAATAGTTCTATAACTTGGCGCGCGGTTGTAAACGCTCACGGTTGACCGAATATCGACTGGCTTTGCGACCATTCCATGCGGTGTTTGTGAAGCACAAGTCCTCCAAAATCTCATCATATATGGTACTATCGACATTATTTTCGAACTTGGCATGTTGGTCCTCAACATCCTGCAAATGAAAATATCTATTAATCACAGATGGTGTAAAACGGATGTCCTTACCTCGCACGAAAATGGAGTATTGGTTCAGCTTGGAGATGTTGGCATAAAACCCTTTAACCAGTGAAGCATTCACTGAACCCGGATACCTTGCATACTTTTTCTATTTGTGTGGAGTAACAATGTCCATCACATCCGGTCGAAAGCCACCCTTGACTTCATGAGTAAAAATAAAACCCAACTCAAAGAAGAGTTTTCTGTTCTTGAAATTTTGAAACCGTGCATTGGCTTCATCATTTTCGAACTGCTGCAAAGTGGGGGCTTCAGTTGCGGTTAGTCTAGTGCGCACCATTTTTTCAGTTTTATGAAGCAAGAAAAATTAAAAATGAAGAAACTTTGAGAGCTTTGAAAGCTTGAAGTATTTTCGGCTATGGGAAAAATGAAGAAAGAAACTGAAGAAATGAGAGAGAAAAAGGGAAAAGAAAAAGTTAAAAATGAGAGAGAGAAATGGTTGATAGGTCGGTTGAAATAAATGAGTGGGTGAGGGGTTAATGGGTATATGGGGAAGGAAAAAAGTAACTTGCAAAAGTAATGATGATGATGGGACAAAAGAGTGGAGATAGAAAAGTAAAAATCAGAATTAAAACCAAAGAAAAAGAAACAAATCAAAAAGAATATTTTCCCCAATTAATGGCTTGTTCTTTCCTCCCTTTGGTAACCGATCCTTATACGGCTTGTTGCACTGTGGTCCCTACAAATCAAATCAAAAATTGTCTACAAAATAAAATTAAAATTAAAATAAAGGAAAGATTAAATTTATTATTTATGCACAAACACAAATTCAATGACGTGGCATTGAAATGTGGTTCTCAGCTGGGCAATTTTCAGCGTCATGCAAAACTGCCTTGTTGTGCGGTGGTGGAACTCCATTACAAGCTTTTAGACGCTGACCATTGACTTTGGAGATCTTCCCATCTATATTCTTGATATTAACAACTCCATGTGGATAGACATAATACACCTCATATGGCCCTGACCATCGGGATTTGAGCTTCCCAGGAAAAAGTTTAAGCCTGGAGTTATAAAGCAAGACTTGTTGGCCCATATGAAAATGTCCTGGCATCAGTTTTTGGTCAGGCCACTTATTGGTTTTCTCCTTGTATATCCTAGCATTCTCATATGCTTCTGCTCTAAATTCTTCCATTTCATTAAGTTCTAGTAATCTCTGCTCCCCAACTAATTGATAATCAAAATTCAATTGCTTGATGGCCCAGTACGCCTTATGTTCATGTTCAACCGGGAGATGAAAAACTTTCCCATACACTAGCTTGAATGGTGACATTCCCAAAGGAGTCTTGAACATTGTTCTATACGCCCAAAGTGATTCATCCAACTTTGGCGACCAATCCTTATGCCTTGGGTTCACCACTTTCTCTAAAATCTACTTGATCTCTCGATTGGATATCTCTTCTTAACCATTTGTCAGCAGATGATATACCGTAACAATTTTATGCCGAACTCCATATCTCTTCAATGCCTTGGCAATCAACTTGTTATCAAAATGGGTTCATTCATCACTAATGATAGCTCTAGGTACTCCAAACCGAGTGAATATATACTTGTGCAAAAACTTGAGTACAGTTTTAGAGTTATTCCTTGATGTTGCTATTGCTTCCACCCACTTTGATACGTAATCCACAGCAAGCAAGATATATAGATTTCCTCCAAAAGATGGAAATGGTCCCATGAAATCGATGCCCTAAACATCAAACAACTCTATTTCCAAAATATTTTGCAGTGGCATTTCATGACGTCTGGATATGTTTCCAGTCCGTTGTCATCAATAACAAGATTTGTATAATGTTTGAGCATCTCTAAATAGAGTTGGTCAGTAAAAGCCTGATTGCAGGACCTTAGCAGCAGTCCTTGCTCCACAAAAATGGCCTCCACTTGGGGTTGAATGACAATGGTATAGAATGTTGCGTTGTTCTTCTTCAGGGAAACATCGTCGAATGATTTTATCGACACAATGCTTGGACAAATATGGCTCATCCCAAAAATAGTGCCTTGCATCATGCTTGAACTTCTTTTTACCTTAGATGTCTAAATCAAAATGTAATATTCCACTAACAAGAAAATTAACAAGGTCAACGTACCATGGGATTACCGTGGCATATAAAATTTTCTCATCAAGAAATTCCTCTTGAATATCTATAGTTTCATGGCATTCAGAATTGTTCTCTAGCCTAGATAAGTGATCAACAACTTGATTTTCAGTTCTTTTTCTATCTACCACCTCTAAGTCAAATTATTGCAAAAGTAAGATCCACCTAATAAGTCTAGGCTTTGCATCCTTTTTGTTCATTAAGTATTTTGTAGCCAAATGATCAGTGTGAATAATAACTTTAGTGCCTATTAGGTATGGTCTAAATTTATCAAAAGAAAATACCACAGTAAGTAATTCTTTCTCAATGGCGGTGTAGTTCAATTGTGCTTCATTCATAGTGCGACTAGAGTAATAAATAACATGAAAAAGTTTACCTCTACGTTACCCCAAAACAGCTCCTACGGCATAATCGTTTGCATCACACATCAACTCAAATGGTGATGTCCAATCGGGAGGATCTACAATAGGTGCCGAGATTAATCATTGCTTTAGCTAAGTGAATGTGTCGAGGCATAACTCGTCAAAAACATAGGGTTGGTTTTGTTGAAGCAATGTGCACAAAGGCTTAGAAATCTTGGATAAGTTTTTAATAAATCTTCTATAGAATCCAACATGTCCAAGAAACTTCTTATACCCTTGACCCAAGTTAGTGGTGGCAACTTTTCAATTACTTCAATCTTTGCCTTATCCACCTCAATACCCTTGTGAGATATTTTTGGCCTAAACAATGCCTTCAATCACCATGAAGTGTCATTTTTTCCAATTCAAGACCAAGTCAGCTTTCTCACATATTTTGAGAACTTTTTCCAAATTGTTGAGGCATCGTTCAAAATCGTCTACAGATAAAGAAAAATCATCCATGAATATCTCCAGAAAATCCTCAACCATGTCTGAAAATATGGCTTGCATACAACGCTGAAACGTTGTCGAGGCATTATAGTGTCCAAAAGGCATCCTCCTAAAGGCAAAAGCGTCATAAGGACAAGTAAATGTAGTCTTTTCCTGGTCCTCTAGTGTGATGGAAATTATTTTACCCCGAGAACCCATCCAAAAAGCAATAGAATACTTTTTCGGCCAATCGATCCAACATTTGGTCAATGAAAGGTAGAGTAAAATAGTCCTTCTTTGTAGCTTTGTTGAGTTTTCGATAGTCCATGTATATCCTCCATCAGGTAATAGTGTGAGTGAGTAATAGCTCATTATCCCCATTAGTAACCACCATCGTGCCTCCTTTCTTCAGAACACATTGTACAGGGCTCACCCATGAGCTATTTGAGATAGGGTAAATTACTCCAGCATCATGCCATTTTAGAATTTCTTTCATTACCACTTTCTACATCACATGGTTAAGTCTTCTTTTTGGTTATATCGAATTGTCGTGGCAATCTTCAAGTACAATCTTATGCATGTAGATCGTAGGACTAATTCCTTTCAAATCGGCCATAGTCCAACCAATTGATTTCTTATGCTGCATCAAAACACTTAACAAACTTTGCTCTTGGTTAGCAGTAAGGTTAGCGAAAATAATCACCGGTAAAGTTTCATCGCTACCTAAGTAAGCATATTTAAGATGCCCTCTCAAAGTCTTAAGCTCTAGAGTATGTGCATGCAATAATGAAGGCTTAAGAGGATTAAATTCATCAAAATTTAGAGGTTCAAAATTCATACCTGACCTAACTTGTAGTAAGCTAGATTACTCATCCAAAATTGGGAAGTTGTCGTACTCCACTAAGCTTTCATCTTCCACCAAGTATTCTTTTTCTGATAGCTGAATAAAATTATTCTAGCAAAGATATTTATTCTCTTCTTCAATTACTGAGTTCAATTTATAAAAGCCTTGGAATTCTTCAGTGTCATCGACATACTTGAGAATTCGAAACACATTGGCTGTCACACACTGATCAGCCACTCTCATGGTGAGTTCACCTTTTTCACAGTCTATCACGATACGTCCAGTGGCTAGGAAAGGTCTTCCCATAATGATGGGTGTCTTGGCATCAACTTCGGAGTCCAGAATTAAGAAGTCGAACAAAAACACAAACTTATCCACCCTTACTCTAACAACCTCGACTCTCCCTTCAGGTTTCACATGGGATCTATCGGCAAGTTGTAAAATAACCAAGGTGGGTCTTGCATCTCCTATGCCAAGCTTTAAGAATATATATTTTGCATTAAGTTGACACTAGAACCAAGATCACACAGTGCCTCTCCAATAAAATTATCTCCAATAGAACAAGGAATAATGAATCTGCCGGATCATTTTGCTTTGCTGGCAACTTACTCAATGGAGAACAAACTTCTGTTATCGTGGAAACAGTCTCATAAGTCTCTACTTTGATCTTTTTGGTACAGATTTCCTTGAGAAATTTAGCATACGTCGGCATCTGTTCAATAGCTTCCAAGAGAGGTATGTTGATATGGAGCTGATCAAGAATGTCTACAAACTTCTTGAACTGGACTTCATCATTATGTTTCTTCAAACTTTGTGGGAAATATGGGGGGTCTTGCTTCCTTAACTGCAAGAATAGGATTTGATTTTGCCTTGGCATCATAATCTGGTGCCTTAGTATAATCATTAGTAAAACCCTCCTCCTTGTCCTTCTCAAAAATGATATCATCATGTAATTCAGCTTCACCATTGTCAGTAGTGGGAGTAGAGTCATCATGTTGTGCCCCAATAACCTTGACTTGTTGATTAATTTGTGTTCCATTCCTAAGGGTTAACACATTGCAATGCTCTTTTCCATGTGCTTTAGTGACTTCAGTATCACTTGGAAAACATACTTGCTGACGCTCTTGTAATGCCATTGTAATCTGACCAACTTGAGCTTCCAAAGGTCTCGAGAAGAGCTATGGCTTTGAAGTAAGGCACCTTGACTATGAAGTAAAGCTCCTTGATTCTTAATTAAAGTATAATGGTCTTGCAGCATTGTATTCGTAGTAGATATGAACTCTTGAATTGTAGCTTCCAATGAACTTATGCTCGCTGAAGATGAAGGTCCTTTGTTGATATTATTCCATAGAATAACATTTTGGTAACTTTGAGGCTCATTGTGATTTTGTTGCCTAGCGGGCTGACTAGTATTGTGGGCTCCTTGATTTCTCAATGAGAAATTGGGATACTGACGCCATTCTGCATTATAAGTGTTATAGTAGGGATTGTTATTACCTCGATTGAAATTACCTACAAAGTTGATGGACTCATGGTTGGTCGGGCATTCTCTCTCATGATGATTGCCTTGGCATAACAAACATGCCAACATAGTTGCTTTCACTTCCTTCACATCAGCGGAACGTTGTAAATTTTTCAACATATGGGTGATAGCTGAGAGTTGAGCGGACACAGAATCCTTGGTATCTAACTCAAATGCTCCAGGTGTTTTCCTCCCAATCCTAAGCCTTGAGGAAGGAAATTGATAATCATTATTAGTAATTCTGTCCAAAATACCAAACACCTCAGTAGGTGGTTTATCTAGCAATGTCCCATTTGTCGAGGCATCCAGTAACATCCTCGTGGGTGCATTGACTCCATTATAGAACATAACTAATTGTGTCCAATCGTGAAAACCATGATTTGAACACTTTCGAAGAAAACTCTTGTAACGATCCCAGCACTCATACATGGATTCGTCGTCGCCATGGTGAAAAGATGTTATGTAATTCCTTAGTTGAGTATTCATGTTCGGTGTGTTATACCACAATAAGAAACTCTTGCAAAGATCGGCCCATGATTACATCAAACTAGATGGTAAACCACTCAACCGAGCCCTTGCTCGGTCATGCAATGAATACGGAAACAACTTTAATTTCAGAACATCCTTCTTGACAGAAAGAATCACAAACTTCCATAAAACTTCTAATATGTTGTTTGGCATCTTCATTTGTATACCCCCAAACTACCCAATGGAATTCAACATGTTGAACATGACTAGTTTAAGCTCGAAATGTGTAGCTTGAATTTAGGGTGCCACAATTCCAGGATACAAGTAATCCAGTATCGGATTTAAATGATCACGAATAACGCGCGACCTACCAGCAGGTTCAATATTTTCTAATGCTACGACATTCAAAATTCTGTCATCCTGACCAATCCCTTGGTTTCAATTTTAAACATATTTCCTTGAGCACGTGTGCTTTGTCTAAAGAGTCTTTTAATCTCATGTCTATCGGTTTCA